TGGCACCAAAGTCCATGGGTGGTATGCCAATTTCACAAAATGATAGGATAAATGAAAAACTTGCCACACCTAAAATGGACCGTACAGATAATACGAAGTGCACTGCTGTTAGGTCGACTCAGGAAAATGGGAGGAAACCCATCGGGAGTTTATCCAGCAAGCCCAGGCGGGCGAAGCTAGGAAAGGGATTATCCCGTAATGCGTTACAGCTGCCCAGCGTTGATTCATTGACTCAGGCAGCTGATCGAAATGAAATGGTACAAAAAACGGGGTTATCCCCTCTGGCTCTACGTCCGAGGGGAAACAACCGCGTTCGGCGCGACTAAGCGTGTGGTATACTAATTGTTGTAGTGTGCGTAACAAATGGGGGGAATTAGTGACACGTTGTGTGCATGTTGATGTGGCCGCTGTGTACGAGTCCTGGCTCCTCTCAGATGACATTATTGGTGATCTGCTTATAGACTTTGCGTGCTACAGGGCTGACAGGCCCGGGTATCAGACCGGTGGAGGAGTACTCCTGCTTATAAGGTGCCAATATAAACACTGGGAGGCTCCATTTACCATGAGTTCTGCTAAGTGTCAGGCGGTTTCCTGCTATCTAAGAGCATGGGGTAAATCAGAGATTATAGTATGTGTTTATCGTAGCCCATCGTCTACCCGAGAAGAGGACAGGGATCTTGGTCAGTTACTAAGACAGGCGGCAATAGCCGCACCTAATTTTCTGATCGTCGGTGACCTAACCTTCCGCATGCTGATTGGCAGCATGCTGAAAACAGAGTGGGTACTTTAGAGAAGGAACTAGTAGATTGGATGCACGTAAATGCCTTCGAGCAGTACGTCAATGTCCCGACTAGAGTCGTACTGGGAGTACCCCTTCAACCCTTGATATCGTGATCGCCAGACATGGTCACTTAACTGACCTATGCGTGGAGCCACCCATAGGTAAGAGTGATCATTGTGTTTTGACCTTTTCTCTGGACACACCGAGGCTTGCAGAGAACCGTCGAATGGGAGGAGATTTAAATCGTATTGATTTTACGAAATTGCGGGATCGAGCCCTTCAAATCACTTGGGTCCCTGAACAGGACAAGGCCACTTTGGAACAGAGGTGGCTTCTACTTAAAAGTGGACTTGTACAGTTGCTGAATGAATTTGCTCCTCTTCGCCCTAGGAGACATCTTGGGAAACCCCGATGGTGGAGAGAAGAAAATTGATAGAGCGATAAAGAGGCGCAATGCTGAGTGGAGAAAATATCAAGAAACGCGGGCTTTCTACTGTGTCTGCAGTACGAAAGGTGTCGGAACATGGCTAGTAGGTTACAGCGGCAGGCGAAGTACTCTTATGAGCTTAGGTTGGCCAAACTTGCGAAAACTAATCCCAAGTGTTATTACAGTTATGTCCAGTCAAAGGCTTCCTTAAGAGAGGTGGTCGGCTGTCTAACCATGGAGGACGGTACCCAGGCTGTAGACGACGTCGATAAAGTAGAAGTGCTGCTACGTGTCTACCAAAGCCTGCATCGGAAGGATAGTGGGTCAGCCTTGCCATCACTACCGCACTGCTTAACTATGGCGGGATGTACGCTATCAGGACCGGCTGATTTATAAGGGTTCAAATTGGCCAGCACTGTGAAGACCTCTGACACATTGAGAATAATTTCCCGCATTGTGTAGCTAGTTGAGCAGTGCGGTAGTGATGGCAAGGCTGACCCACTATCCTTCCGATGCAGGCTTTGGTAGACACGTAGCAGCACTTCTACTTTATCGACGTCGTCTACAGCCTGGGTACCGTCCTCCATGGTTAGACAGCCGACCACCTCTCTTAAGGAAGCCTTTGACTGGACATAACTGTAATAACACTTGGGATTAGTTTTCGCAAGTTTGGCCAACCTAAGCTCATATGAGTACTTCGCCTGCCGCTGTAGCTTAATAGCCATGTTTCGACACCTTTTGTACTGCAGCCAGCGTCGAAAGCCCCGGGTTTCTTGATATTTTCTCCACTCAGCATTGCGCCTCTTTATCGCTCTATCAATTTTTCTTCTCCACCATCGGGGTTTCCCAAGATGTCTCCTAGGGCGAAGAGGAGCAAATTCATTCAGCAACTGTACAAGTCCACTTTTAAGTAGAAGCCACCTCTGTTCCAAAGTGGCCTTGTCCTGTTCAGGGACCCAAGTGATTTGAAGGGCTCGATCCCGCAATTTCGTAAAATCAATACGATTTAAATCTCTTCCCATTCGACGGTTCTCTGCAAGCCTCGGTGTGTCCAGAGAAAAGGTCAAAACACAATGATCACTCTTACCTATGGGTGGCTCCACGCATAGGTCAGTTAAGTGACCATGTCTGGCGATCACGATATCAAGGGTTGAAGGGGTACTCCCAGTACGACTTCTAGTCGGGACATTGACGTATTGCTCGAAGGCATTTACGTGCATCCAATCTACTAGTTCCTTCTCTAAAGTACCCACTCTGTTTTCAGCATGCTGCCAATCAGCATGCGGAAGGTTTAGGTCACCGACGATCAGAAAATTAGGTGCGGCTATTGCCGCCTGTCTTAGTAACATACCAAGATCCCTGTCCTCTTCTCGGGTAGACGATGGGCTACGATAAACACATACTATAATCTCCAATTTACCCCATGCTCTTAGATAGCAGGAAACCGCCTGAACATTAGCAGAACTCATGGTAAATGGAGCCTCCCAGTGTTTATATTGGCACCTTATAAGCAAGAGTACTCCTCCACCGGTCTGATACCCGGGCCTGTCAGCCCTGTAGCACGCAAAGTCTATAAGCAGATCACCAATAAAGTCATCTGAAGAGAGCCAGGACTCGGACACAGCGGCCACATCAACATGCACACAACGTGTCACTAATTCCCCCCATTTGTTACGCACACTACAACAATTAGTGTACCACACGCTTAGTCTCTCCGAACGCGGTTGTTTCCCCTCGGACGTAGAGCCCGAGGGGATAACCCGTTTTTTTGTACCATTTCATTTCGATCAGCTGCCTGAGTCGATGAATCAACGCTGGGCTGCTGTAACGCATTACGGGATAATCCCTTTCCTGGCTTCGCCCGCCTGGGCTTGCTGGATAAACTCCCGATGGGTTTCCTCCCATTTACCTGAGTCAACCTAACAGCAGTGCACTTCGGATTATCTGTACGGTCCAATTTAGGTGTGGCAAGTTTTTCATTTATCCTATCATTTTGTGAAAAGGGCATGCCACCCATGGACTTTGGTGACACTACTGTCGAGCATGAGGCCTCGATTGTTTTTGAACGCACCGGCTGCAGTCCCATTACCACACCTTCACTGCCCTCTTCCGCCATAGATGTGTGATTCACATTTCCATCAAGAGCAAGTTTCTCCACAACCAAATGCAGGCCAGGAGTTATCTCGCTGGCGTTTTGTGAAGGGGGTTGTCCAGACAAGCTGACTGCTCTTGCCACAGGAGAGCAAACGCTAGAGTTTTTCTTAGGTGTCTGCATAACGTGAGGCTCACTATCATGAATTCCAACGTGTGAGACCGCAGATTCGTTAGCCAAGCTGGTACTAGTATCTTCTAACCGGCTCAGCCGAGAGGCTTTAGCCTTCGAAGTTAGTGTGTCCGGTGCTATTTGATACCGACCATTTGTCTGACTTGCAACCAATCCAGCCCTGTTAAGTAGAAGGTCCCGGTGTATAGGGTTCCGAAACTCAACCAGGATAGGCCTTGCATAACCTTGGTGGCGGAGCATACTTGTTTCTCTCCAGCTGCCAACACGATGTACTCTCTTGATACCAACGTATAACGGTATTCCGGCTATACGAAGGATATCGTGCACTCGCCTTCTGTCTAGGTCCCGTCGAGTTCTAGTTTCTCGTATGACTGGCTCCTCCCTATTGTAGATAAGAACGTTTCGTTGTCTACCCATAGCAAGTTCAGCACTTCGCAAGTAACATTCCAATGAAGACTGCAACTCTTCAACTTTTGAACGCAATGTCTCAATTAGCAAGCTCTGGTCACGAATCAACTTCTCGGCACTGTCTAGTCTATGCACACAGTTCCTACTAGCGGACTCATGCACATCTGAGACATGAGTAACTGAATCAAAAGTCCGATCATGTATCAATCGAGAACCAATGTCTGCTAAGCACACGCAGTGGAAGCAAATCCACTTTAATTGGGAATGTCGGGCATAAAGATCAATAGAGTCCTGGTCTAATCTAGAGCAGTTGTTATGGTACCATAACAAGCATCTGTCGCACTGGATTCCCTCTTTGACCTCAACGCCACAAGTGTGCTCACCACATTTATAGCCAGCCACCGATGTCATTACAAATAGCACGTAACAGCTCCGTATAGAATAATCAAGATAGGTAGTTTGATTGGATTAACTGACCAAACTAATACAGGTATGACGGCTTAAGATGAATAGGTAGTCAAAACAAGTTAATACAAAAGAGAATACAACAATATTGAATAAAAATATAAACACAGCGAATTAACACGACCAAAAAGAGAAGCAACACTGGAACAAACTCACGCGGTTACCGAAGATCCAAGATATCCTGGATCAATATTTGATGGAGCAGAGTAAAGATTTCCCACTCAGTCAGTTTAGATCACGCTTCCAAGCCAAATTTGAAGGTAGAAACTTCAAGATAGAGCTTTTTCAAAATTTCAAAGCGCGCGCCAGCCCGCTTTTAAATTTTATGCAAGAGGTGCTTGACTGAAAATAATCTTTAAGGCATGAAGCAACGCATAAATTATTTTGTTTATGTCTATTGAAGGAAGATTATTTTCATACAGCTTAGTAGCAGCTTTACAACTGTGGTAAAACAATCAAGTGAGCATTTATCTCACAAACAGCGCTATTTTTGAATGTTATGTCATTTTATAATCAACTGGTATAGGCAATAATTTGTTAACAAAATATTTAACTTTTTTAACCCTAGATTAACTTATGGTTTTTGTTACAAGTTATCCGTATTTTGTTTATCTGATTTAGTAAATTTTGTGCGGGTTAAATACAGTCCAACAGAAAAAATTGCATTTGACGCAATATGATAACCGTTACTCTGACTGGTGCTCCATTGAAGCCTCTATAATCGGGTTCTTCGTATCTAGTAGGTTGCTTTTGTGCCGGCCTAAACCCAAACAGAGGATAATTTGCTGCCAAGGTCGATTTTCGTTTCCAGTTAGTGACAAACACGCTCTAAAAATCATGTAAGAGTACACTTAGTGTTGATATGGTAAGATGCACCTTTTCTAACCATCATTTTGATATTCACCTAACCTTTACTTATGTCCCTATATGGTATTCCGAATAAAAGGTTTTTGAACGAGCCAGATATTGTTAATTTAGTCGTCCAAACTCATTCGCTAATGTAACCGTCGTGCGATATAATTCTGTTATTATAGTGGGCAGTTTTCTCAAATTTTTAATGATAATGACACATATTTAAATATCCGCTTTTATCATAAATGTCATATAAAACGTCTGGGGGAACAAAGCAACCTTGTGGGCGTACTAATGATAATTCTCTAAAACTGCATGCACAATTTATCGTTCTGTTTCAAATGCAGGTCTTAAAGCCTTTTTCTTTACAGCCTTAATCCCTATATTCAGCAACAACATTTGGGTTAATAATAATTTGGTCATTATTGTGTGTAGATTTTCCATGGGTTTATGGCAAAAATCATGAAATTTGTTACGGATATGCAGGCTTCTTACGGTTGAACCCTTGGATGTTAGAAGGCAGAATGGAATATCTTTGTCATCTCACGCGCTGAGATTCGAGCTGATTGATTTCGGAATGTGTACATAATCGGCTTGTGATCGGTGAAGCTAATGACGTTGTTACCTTCAAGGACGCGCCGGAAAGGTCGGACGGTATAGTAAACGGCCAACAGTTTGCGGCTGAACTTGCCGTACTTGACTTTGGCAGGTTGTAGGCGTCTAGAATAGAAAGCAAGTGGTTTTTAGCATCCATCAGTAAGTTGCTGTAGGACGGCACTAATGGCAGTGGCCGATGCGTCAACAACAACGCTGATCTGAGCGTTCGAATCAAAGTGGCGAAGCAAAGTGGCGTCGGCCAAGACATTTTACCGACCTCAAATGCTTCGGAAGCGGCAGCAGTCAATTCCAGCTGACCGGTTTTACGTCCACGAAGCAGGTCGGTTAGTGTACTTACCAAGTTGACGCAGTGTGGAAGAAAACGTTGATAATAGTTTATCATGCCGTTAAAACGGCGAATAGCGTCTAACATAGTCGGAACCAGAAAGTCTCTGATGGCGCGGACTCTATCGTCTAGAGGCCGTATGCCACACTGATCGATATGGTGGCCAGGAGATTCGATGGAATGCTGCTGAAATATGCATTTGTCAGCGTTGACAGTGATTGTATTGACGGCTCGCCCATTGAAAAGAATCTTGTGATGTTCTGCGGGTCGTACTTCGGAAGTGTTTGCCACTAGGATATCGTCGATGTAGGAGTAGACGAAATCTAGATCTCTAGTGACTTCATCTATGAAGCGTTGCCTTATCTGGTCTGCTTTGCGAAGACCGGAGGACATACGAAAAATTTCGGAGAGCCCAAACGGCATGCTTACAGCAGTCTTTTGTGTATCATACTCAACGACTGGGATCTAGTAGTAAATGCGAACCAGGTCGCTTTTCGAGAACACACGTATGCCGCACAGGCTAGCCGTGATGTCCTGAATATGAAGAATAGGATAGCGGTTGGGAACAATAACGTGGTTGAGCGCGTGGTAATCAGTACATGGAAGCCAGTATCCTGTCTTTTTCGGTACCATGTGGAGCGACGACGCCCACGGACTTTTAGACGGGCGAACGATGCTTAGTTCCAGCTTGTACTAGAATTCTGCGCGAGCAATTTTCAGCTTGTCAGGGGTCATTCGCCTCGCTTTAGCAAATACATGCGGACGTTTGGTAACAGTGTGATGCTTTGCAGCATCCGTGGCAGATGACAACGGTGCTGTTGCACGGTAGACTTGATGGAATTTTCTCAGAAGCATTTGACCGATAGCTGACCTCGGTTGGCTGGCGTATACAGGACTGATTTGATTGTCGATCGATCAGACGGCATTGCTTCGCGTCAACGACAAGTTGAAGTGCTGTAGAAAGCCAAAGCCAAGAATTGGCTCCTGAACATCTGCGACCACGTACCTCCATTTAAAAGCACGTCGTAGGCTTGTATTAAGCGTGCGCGAGTGTCGATGATACACGATAATGGTCGTTCCGTTGGCTGTGCTTAGTGAATTAATTGCCTTCTCATTTGGGTCTTTCTAATCGCTAACTTCGGCACAAGTGTCTACCAAGTAGCGAATTTCTGTTTCTCGATCAGTGACAAAGAAAAGGTGACTATGACAGCCAGCAACGTCCGTTACCCCTACATGCTGGCCGGCCCGTTTCCCTGTGTATTGCGTTTGAAGGAACAGGGCGTGGGGCACGACCTGAACTGACGATCAAATCGTTCATGGTATCGGCAATAGGATGAACTAGACGGTGCTTTTAAACGTGATCTGGAATAGTTTTGACTTCTAGAACGATCTCAATGTCTGGAGTCGGTCGGTATCCAGCTCTCTGTTTGATTGGTAAGCACCACGATTTGAGCTTTTAGTTCGGCCAACTCGACACTAGAGGTGGATTGAGCCTTGGAAATCTGGACGCCAGCTTTCCAGATACGGTCGGTGGTTTTAGCGGCGCCTCTAGACAAGCACAAAGAACGTTATTTATCTCGCTGGAGATAAGCGGAGAAAAGTCTCGCCTAGCATCAAGGGTTTCGCTAAGCTCTTCGTTTTCACAACAACTGAGACGATTTAAGATCGCCTAGCTGGGTTTCGTACAGGAGTTTCATAACTTGTTGTCTGCCGGATAATCCTGTTCTTTTCCGAATAACGGTCTTAACTATTTTATGTTTTCTGTTCCTTTGGCAGGTCCAGAATGTTGTCGAGGTCGTCCACAACAGATGGCGGGAGTGCTGTTAGTAGATAGTGAAGCTTAATGCATTCGGAATTGGCACCGCGCAGCAAAAATTGAGGTTCTGGTTGAGCGAATCAGTAGCCAGGATTATTCTCGAGGAAGGGCGGGATAGGTAGCTTGACTCTATTAACCTGGTCGACGGAACCTGACTGAATGAACTTCGTGGTTAAAAATACGGGGCCAGTAAAAATGAACGCAACCATACAGAAAAATTAGATAGGCAGGCGGGCTAGGTTACCGGGTCTAAAAAGAAAAATTAGTAAAACCTGACCAATTTTGCGGGGACACCAATTATAGCGCGTCGATTGTGCGCTATATATCAGATTCGCGACCAATAGAGTGCGCACGAGGGAACGCATGAACATATGCTAGAAAAGATTTATTGGACGGTATCTTAAGTGGCTACAGCTGAAAACAGGACACCAGAGGAGAGCTAGCTGGGGAGGATATGGACGTGGATCAAGTGCAAGAACGAGCGCCAGGCAACAGGTCGCGTCCGATTGACCGCAAAAGCGCAGACCCGCGTTGTGTATGTGCCTCAAACAAACGAGAGCAAAATTGGAACAAACAAACCGCCTAAATCCCCCTAATACATAAGTAAACTATAATTTTAGAATATTTTAGCATAATTTACTCAGCCATACGGGGAATCTCTAGGTCACTACACACCTAAGCTAGTGCCTCATTCGGGAGGCGGATGGAGCTATGCACAGCGAACTGTATTAGTAAGGACGAAAAGAAGATTTTAGCGGATAAGCAAACAGAAGCAAGCGTCAACGTAGCAATTTATAGACTAGGCAGGAAACAATACGGATACAAACGAGTATGAACGAAGAGTGGGTAGCAATAAAAAATGGACAAACAATGCACAGTGGTGTCATCAAAAAGTTTGCATAAAGCTAAGGTTTATCTTTAGGATGGCTACTGGATTTGAAGTGAGAGTGGTCAGATGAAACGGACACAGCACATAAGTGTTCAACAAATAAATTTAGCTGTTTAACTGCAGCAGCAAGTAGTACATAATGCGTTGTAAACGTGTATGTTTCTGGTAATCTTGGTCTTATCTCGCACTAGTTTACACATATACATTTTTTGTTTTGTATCGTCCGCCATCGCAGCTTAATTCACTATGGCAATCCAACGCTGTTGGATAGCAATTGGGTTACTACTGCGTAATCAATGACACGTAAAAGACGTGTCAACTACGGGACAGTATAGAAGTTGGAGGTGACTGAACCCAACGTGTATTGTACCAGCTACAAAGTAGGAAACGTGTCAGCAGGAGCGAGAAACGGTGCAGCAAGTAGCTCACTAAAGCAGTTTGTGAAAACGAAATTGCCATTAGTAAAACAAGTGGATGTTTTTCAGGTTAAACAGTGGTAAAATGCAATGTTATAATATACTTAAAGGGTGTGCTTCTCAGTACAATACCAGGTCCTCACTCTAGAAAGCTGAAGGATGGAAGCCTTCGACAGAGCTGTTAGTGGGGGAAAATGCGAGGTGCGGATGTGCGCAAATAGTAGCATGGGCTTGAACATGGGATTCCAAGGTGGGATGTGTAGCGCAGTTTGCTGAGTTTTTTATATATGATTGTCGTGTGGACCAGATTGCATCATCGATGGGCTGTCAAAGCGGGCTCGCCGGACTGCAAAAAATACTGGCTAGTCTAGAAAAATGGCCGACAGGACATTCCCTCCACTGCAGACCCTACGGTGCACTTCGGAGGTGTCACTACCCCCACCGCACTCCAATCCGCGGCCCTCGTCACACGAAGAAATCCGGGAGTCCTCGTCGGCAACGCCAAGCCAGGCGTTTGGGGACCAGTACGTACGTGGCCGTCCGCGGTCGAGGGCGGCTGACTGTTTCTTGGGTTAAGATGGGGCTCTGAGCCGGCTGGTAAGTCACTCGGGGTTGTGTTGAGCCGGTTGGCGAGTCACTCGTGGGTTGCCTTGGCAGTTTCGGTGGTTGAGTTTCTTTATGATAGAACTCAGAGTGGGTGGGCAAGGGTCGGGGGAAGTGGCCTGACTCCGGGGACGGAACATGGCATTCATGAGGAAATGAAATACACTTTTATTTTTGCAAAATGTTTTTGGGTTTTTTTCGTCGATTTGTGCTTGTGACGCACAATCTCCACTAATGCCGAAAAAGGCGTGTCAATGGAAATAGCGAACTGTAGAACATTCTCAAGGATTAATCAAGAACACCAGTCTGAGGCAAACAACTATTTTCTATGATTCATCTGCGCGCCTGTACAAGTCATATAGGGTTAAAATACGGTGATTAGTTCAGCTGTAGGTCAGTCGCTAGACAGCAGGTAGTTGGTCGCTGTCTTTATAGGACTAGTCCATATTAGTCCGAGAGTGTCCTTGCTCTGGTGCGGATATTAGAAAACCGGAACAACGGACACAACGGATTGTATTGGTTGGGACAGTACAGCTCCGATTGCAACGTTTCTTACATCGACCGCCACCGTAAATTGTTCTCCAGGGTTGGGTAGCCGTAAACATGCTGGTGCATCTGCAACGTACTGCTTAAGGTCGTTGAAGGTCCGATCTGCTTCAGATGTCCACGCGAACGATTGGTTTTTATACAAAAGTTTTAACAAGGGGCTTATCTTCTCCTCAAAATGGGGCACAAACCTCGAGTCATACGTTACCATACCGAGGAATGACCAGAGCTGACGCTTCGATTTCGGGGCTACGAAATTCTTGATTGCTTTGCGTTTCTCTGGAAGCGGCTGAATCTGGCAATTCCCGACAATGTGACCCAAACATACAATCGACTTTTGAGCAATCTGTGACTTTTTGCGACTGAGCTTCAAGCCGGCTTCCTCAGGTCTTCGTAACACCGCTGCGATTCGGGCACCATGATCATCTTCCGTCTTCGAGAACATAATGTCATCCCCATAAACAACCACATTTTTGAGGTTTTTCAGAACCAAAAGTAGTAAGCGTCTGAATGTTGCCGTGGCGTTGCACAGTCCAAACGGCATTCTCGAGAATTCGTACTGTTGGCCATTCACGCTGAAAGCTGTTTTATACCTGTCTTCCTCTGCAATGGGGAGTCGCCAATAACCCGAACGTAGGTCTATCAATGAAATCAGCTTGGCATTGTGAAGATTGGAAAAAATTTCTTCCATTTGGGGCACTGGAAAAGCGTCTTTCACCGTAACTCTATTCAGCTCCCTGAAATCGATGCAGAATCTGTAGCTTCCGTCTGCCTTTCTCGTCAACAACACGGGAGATGAATACGGACTTTTTGTTCGTCTGATGATGCCTTTGGCTTCCATTTCAGCCACCTGTTTCTGTATATGCGCCAAAGTGTTTCGCGGTATCCGCCTGAAAATCGGCTTGCACTGCCCACCCGGGATTAGAGGTATCCGATGTTCTACCCGGCTGCAAAATCCGTAATCATCATTCACATCCGTGAACAAATGCGCATACTTCTGAAGCACGTCCCTTATTGCGCGGTTCGGGCACTCGGGAAGAACCGTCACGGCACCTATGTGGTCGCGTTTCCCTGGGCTCATCTCGATCGTCTCACTGCCCACTATCACAACCTTCTTCCTCAAATCAATAGTTGCACCCAACTGCTTAATGATGTCCTTACCGATGATTGTCTCCGTTGCCCCCTCAACGACGAACATGAAGTGATTAATGACCGTATTTCCGATTCTCACTCGTAATCGCTGAGCCCCAGTAACCTTCAAACAGTGTCCTCCGATTGTTTGCATTGCGATTGATGACTGAAGTGACGGGACACACTCGAACCTTTTCGTAATGGAAGCGCCGGCTCCCGTATCTATTATCGCATTAACTACGACAACCTCAATTGTTATTTCTAGGGATGGTACCCGCCACCGACCCGACATAGATAAAGAAAACAGCGGTAAAAAAATTTTGTACAATATGCAGCGTATTGACCCAGCTGGTTTCGTCGGAAGTAGCGGGGCCTATCTCGTCTTCCGGGCGCAGTGCGTTGTGTCTCGGTTCTCGAAGTTTCGCTCATCAACCTCTCAACCATGCGCGAAAGCTGGTCTATTTTGCATTCCAACGCGGACAGTTCAATTCTCCCCATCTCCACGGGCCCCACAAAACTCTGTGCCACAGCCACAAGGTCTTCTGCCGTACTGACCCCAACCATGGAGGCCAATTTCACTTTGTCCTGAATGGGTTTGGGCAAACTTCGGACGAATTGGCCTCTCAGTAGTCGATCTCTCGCGCCGCCATCCAACTCAGGGAGCGCCACCTCCAAGTGTCTCTCCAGCCGCTGAAAGAACACCACCAAATCTTATTGCTCTTCCCAATTGGTTGAATGGAACTGCTCGAGCGCATGTTACCGATCGCTCTCCTTACCGAATTCCGCACACAGCGCAGCCTTCCTCCTTAGCTGGTAGGTCGCCTTTGCTCTCCCCGTCAGCATCGTGCCCAATACGGTCAACAAATTGAAATCTCCTTTGATCGCGTTGCACGCCGCAATGGCCTCAAATTCCTCCAACCACAATTCCACATCTCCCTCAGCGAACGGCGTTGGCCACTGAATCTTCATGCTGATTGGTCACGGCACCACTGTAGCGACCGAACAACGCGGCAATGAAGCACGATCTTTATTGGCGCGAACACACCCACTACCCTTCCAATCACACAGGCGCTCATTAATGAGTCAGGTTGCTTTCCCACGTTGCACCGTCCCTCCTGGCCTCCGCTCGTGGCACTTCTATGCTCCTTCTGGGGCTACGGGAATGCCTCTTCTATGTCCGTTTCGCCCGTGTATCTTCGCTTCCACGCCTCCGATTCTGACAAGCCCGGAGTCGTTCGATAGCGTGCGCTTTACTTGACCATGGGTGTATCACTCTCCCCGGGGTTGTTTTTTGAAGATGCGATACCGGCGGTTTTGTCCGATTTATTGCGTCTTCAACAAATTCTCCACCTGCTTTGCCTGTCTCGGGCTCACCCACGGATGCCGCTCCTGTCCGGTTTTCGTCCCGTTCTATTGGGCATGGGTTTTTCCAGAAAATCGCCCCCATCGCATCGGTCTCTCTATTCGTCCGCCTCCGTTTTCTTGATCTAACCGTCCTTTGGGCAAGCGCTGCCTTCCGCCTCCCTACACTTATGGCAGGCTTTCGCCTACCTTTGTGGTCTCCAGTGGAGTTCAATAGGGATGCCCTATCTCTCCGTTCCTATTCAACTTCGCCATTGAGGATGTCTTGAAGAACGCTCTAGGCGATTCGTTGAACGCTAGCGTTGAGCTCCTCCCAGATAGTTGAGTTGTCGATTTGGATTATGCTGATGATATCATCTTGCTGGGTGACGATCCACACTTCGTCCAACTTGCACTAAACCGCTTGGCGATTGAAGCATCAAAGTATGGTGTGTACTTTTCGCCATCCAAATGCAAGGCTCTCTTCCAAGACTGGCAGGTGCCTCTGCCTACACTCACTCTTGGTGGTGAGACGCTAGAGGTTGTGGAGAGCTTTGTCTACTTGGGAAGTGGCACCACTGCTGGCGGAGCTATTGGAAACGAGATTTCGATGCGCATCTCGAGGGCACGCCTCGCTTTTTCTAGGCTGAGGCACTTGTGACGGCGCCACGACATTCGTCTCTCCATCAAAGGGTGGGTCTATTGGGCAACCGTTCGTGCTGTACTATTGTACGGATGCGAGACCTGTCCCATTCGTAAAGGTGAATTGCGCAGACTATCCTTCTTCGGGTGCCGCTGTCTGCGGTCCATTGCCCGTGTGTGGTGGTGGCACCACGTAAGCAATGTGAAAGTTAGACAGCGTCTTGGGAGGAGAAAGCCACTGGCTCGAGGAATTCGTCGCAGTGCATCAACTGCGGTGGTTGGGACAGGTATTGCACATGTCTGTTCAGCGTTACCCGTGTCGTGCGTTGTTTGCGCTTGCTGGACAGGGCTGGAAGAGACGGTCTGGTGGACAGCCTACAAGATGTAGAAGCCGCATGAAAAGGTTGATGAAACAGTTGGCATCGGCCGGTTGTTGTCGACTACCTAGTTGGGATCCGAGAGATACGGATAACTGCTGGTTAAAGACCTTGGAAGCCATGGCTCAAGATTGATGTTAATGGCGGACGTGTGCATCGGTGTGTTGCGGTATCCCTTCTTCACCCCCTAAAAAAGAACAAACTGAAAACATTTCAAAAACTGTGAGTGGTAAACTAGACAAAAATGCTTTTGTTGTTGTTGCTTTTTCCTTATTATTCATACTGTTTTCGTATTCAGCTATGATTCCGATGGCACAATATCTGTACCACAGGTTGTGTATTATATATATATATATATATATATATATATATATATATATATATATATATATCAATTGTCCATGGTTGGAGCATTTTGGCTCACCGGTTGTGGCCCTGCAGACGAGGAACACTTTTGGCTGGGTACGCTTGTTTACAAGGCGAGGAACCGACCTCAGTCACGTTTGTGTTATGAGCTTATTTGTCCGTCCTCCTCCCACTTAGCCCCCGCATCCACCACCTTATTTCCTAGGCATAATACAATTATTTTTTGCTTTACAACTACCGGTTAGTAGCCAGCCGGAATGGTGTCCATCCGTTGTTGGTGGATCAGTCGGCTTGCCTCTGTTATACGTTTCTTTTTCTTCTCTTCATGTATTGCACCACAATAGCTGTGGTGTTCCCACTTCTAGCTAACACGTATAATGACAATGATGAAGATGCATGAAGGATCCATCCTAACTCTAATCATGAAACTGTTGTGATGGATGTGCGGATAGAATCTCGGAACTTACGCATCTGAACTAATACGTCCAAGTTCCTCTTAACAGATTTAGGATAGAATGACGTTTGCGGTATCACTAGTTTTTAATGCCGAAATAGAGAAACTGTTTTTCTTATTAGAATTTCTCGTCTGAAATTTCAGCTAAATCCAGAGGTGCGGTCTTTCTAGGCCTTCCTTACTGTTGCGTTCTTCTCGCACAATTGAGTAATCCACCGCAATGAGCAGGCCATTTGTTGTTTGTTATATATGCGGACGCGAGTACGGCTCATCCTCCATCGGAATACATGAGCCGAAGTGTCTGGAGAAGTGGAAAACGCAGAACAATCTCCGGCCTCCGAACGAGCGCCTTCCGCTTCCAGTGAAGCCAGGCGTATCAAAGCAGTCCGGACCACTGGGAACGAACAACAAAGAGAATCTCACAGTCGCTTACAATGAAGCAGCCGCGATGGTAGCAAGTAGTAATTTGGTGCCTTGCCCATTGTGTGACCGGAAATTTAACCCAGACCGACTAGAGGTTCACAAATCGGTTTGTAAAGCCAGCAGTAATCGAAGATAACGTAACAACGCGAACGAGACGAGATGCATATCACTTACAAAATGCACCTTCATGAATGAAGTCGGAGGTTTACTTTTCACCAATATAAAAAAGTTGAAGCCTATAGATCTGAAAAAGAAACACCACATGTACCTATTTTCCAGCAGACCTCAAAAAAGAAACGAGCAGATGTTTAGCATTTAAGAGATGAAGTGAGAACTGGTAGTGTTCTGTTGCTGGAAATGGCTCCCAGTCGGATCAGGAGGAATATGTTACTAAACACCAGGGGAGAGACAACCAATTACGGTGAACCAAGTAACTGTTTTGGAACCCAAATGCGAACAATGCACTTTACTCCCCTCTTCTAACAATGAAATTTTGTTTCGATTCATTCCGTTTGTTTCTTCGGTCTATATAGACGGGAATTTAAGCACAGTAGGCTTAGGTTAGTCTTGCTGCCACATGAAGCGATTTCTACACGTCGTCAAAGTAGGTGTTGGACAACGGTAGTAAAGTCGGGGGCTGCTAATGTTTGTAAGCGTAAACCGATGTATAGTAAGAACAGTATGAGAGAAGCCATGTATATAGCATAAGCGAACAAGATGGGAATATGGTTAAAGATGCCAAAAACAGAAGTTGGAAATAGTACGCACCATCAGTTTCATAAACACTGTTTTTAATTACATATATGTGAAGAAATGCGCCTTCTCAATGGATAACCTTAACTACTGCTTATCGTGCATGACAGGTTGCCTGAACTGATCAACTTGTTTGCGTTAACGCAATAAATAAGTACATTCTCATTACATGTATACTGTTTCATGATATAAAAATGCATTCAATAGGTACACCTACCGCTGGAACCAGACTGTGAGAATTCTGAACTGAATCAGTGCCACGCCATACTCATTTTCCAAATACTGGATTCAATCATCTAGTAACGCGTACACGAACTGCAGCACTAGCTGTGGTAGAAGTGGGGAACGCAAAACCACCACGGCGAAATCGAATTCCAGGGTGCTGATGGATTGGGGTCTTCCGTGATCCGTTGAACTATGGTGAATGACAATTTCTTAGTGGCTTCAGAGTCATACTGCGTAGGTCAGTGGTTGAGAATCACGCAAACGGTTGCATGAAAAAGGCAATGACACTAGTTCTTCACACTCTGGTATCAAAACGATAAGTTGCCAGCCATGAGAGCAACTCGGTAAGTGTAGAGAATATTATGATGATAGAAAACAACTATCACTCAAAATCTATGTGGTTCACCTCAGCCCGCCTATCACTTGGTCACAAAGATATAAACAAAACAGAACAAACTTGACACTGATTGTGATCATAGACTTTGACCCGATACGGTAGAAAAGCACACTTTTTCAGCAAACCTAGGAATGCCCATTCCACAATAAACCCTAATATTACCTCAGTCACAATTAGAGGTAGATCGGCCTATCACTGCCTTGTCAGTCCGACTGTTGAGTCAAAGAACATATCTGGAAGATCTAGCACACATTAACTCCCCGTGAATGCGTAGCAGGAATTTATATTCAAAACACAAGGTTGGCACTTTCTCTACTTCTTCCTACTTGTTTTCCTGTTTTCGCATTCCATGGTAGCAAAGAGCATCTGGTTCTGATACTCAAAGATGTGCAAGCACTGTGAATAGGTAAACTTTAAAACCAGGAATCCTACTTCTTATTTGGGTTTCGCCACAAAACGATCCATACTAATAATTAGGCTTGTCCTCACAATCCATTAGTCATGACTCACTTCACGCTCAGTTAGCAGTTATTGTTTAGCAGAACGATGCACCCTCGAAGTGCAAAGCGTTCTTCCAAGATTGGTCTGGACCGTCTCCTTTGCTGACCCTTGGTGGGGATCAGCTAGAAGTTGTTCAAAAATTCAACTACCTGGGGAGTTGTATCAGCGCCCGTGGGATTGAAGATGAGATCACGAACCGTATAGCAAAAGCTCGGGGCGCTTTTGCTAACCTTCGCCACTTATGGCGGCGGCGCGACATCGCTGTTTCCCTGAAGGGTAGAGTGTACAATGCAGAAGTACGTTCGACCCTACTGTACGGTTGTGAAACCTGGCCGCTTAAAACAGCGGACCTGAAGAGGCTAGTTACGTTCGACCACCGGTGCCTTCGCAATTTAGCTCACATCTGGTGGGAACACCGCGTTAGTAACGAGCGTGTTCGACGCCTTGTTTACGGCACAGGAAAAGGAAATGAACCGCTCAGCACAGTTATTTCACGCACCGGGCTCCGAAGGCTCGGCCACGTGTTACGCACGCCAGCCCACCGACTCCCGCGACGTGCGTTGTTTGCGCACCGGGGGTGTGGATGGAAGAATAGGAGGGGTGGCCAAGCGATGACTTGGTCGAGAGGAATGAAGGCCCTCACTTCTGAGTTGGCCTCGGTTGGAGCGTCTCGGCTCCCTGGTTGGGCTCCGAAAGACGATGAACACGTTTGGTTGGACACACTTGCTGACATGGCAAGGAGCCGACCTCAGTGGCGTTCGTGCTGTGAGTTTCCTTGTCCCACCCCATCCCTCTTAGCCTCCCCCTCCAATCACGATCTCATCATTTAGCCTTATATAATTTTGCATAGCAATTTTTTTTATAAACAGTAGCCGGCTGGTAGCTTACCAGAACGATGCCCATCCGTTACCAGTAGCTCAGCCGGCTTGCACCAGATGCATTTTTTCCTCCTTTTTTCTATGTATTACGGCACAGTAGCTGAGGTGTTCCCCACCTCCAGCTAACGTGTATGATGATGATGATGATGATGAGAACGATGCGGCAATGAAGAACACGTTTTATTTCTGCGACAGCAGTAAATCAAACCCCTCACGCAGACCAAAAGGTATGAATCATATTTCCTTCCCATGACACACCGCACTGTCTGATGACCGCTCGTGACGGCGATGCAACTACCCAGTCTGCGGTGCCTACTAGTTGCTGCATGGTAACCTTGTAGCTTCGGTTCTCTCCATCCTCTTCTAGTCGGCCAGGACTCATTCAGTAGCTCGCGATTTGCTTAGTTGTAGCTACATCACTCTGCTTGGGGTCGATCCTGGAGGTTACAATACCTGCGTTTTCATCTGGGTTATTGTGCTTTCAACAAATGCCCTCTCTATTCTTCTCGGTTTAGGCTGGCTGCGGGTCGTCGCTCGCGACCCGGGTCGGAATCCTTTTGCTCTGTCTGGTCTCTCTGGTTGCGTAGTTCCTTATTCTACACCCTCCCGTATTCTTGGTCTTCCTATCCTTCCGTTTCCCTACAATTGCTCGAATACATATAACTGCTTCTGAATGCTTATTTCATTTGCATCCGCATGTGTTGAACCTGCTGGCACGTAATCACACTACTTGTGCATTCATTTATTTTGCTGAATTGCTGTTTCGATTTCACTGGTATTAAATTAAATCACATAACATACTCGTTCCTTAGGTTAGGCTGCTCAAAAGCGAGCACAGCTTTCATTTCGCAGCCTCTAGATTATGAATATTCGTTGAAACAGCGCCTGCATCATTAAGGGACAGAGTGCTGAGGCAAAGATTAGAGATAGAGTACCTCGAACAAAACCGCCCCGTCGGAATAAACACTTAGCCATTATCATCTACACCGAGCATCACCTCGCCAAAACCGTTTCCTCTTCATGTGGTTCCCGTTGAATGCTGCTTCAACCGCGCAGCTTGCGGTAGCCAGAAATCTGTTGTGGCTTCCGCTAACTGTAAGGACAACCTGCCAGAATCCTTAATTCATATATCATGCCATATCACTAAAAGGAGAGTAGTTGCTGCGAGGAGATCTCTTTTCGATAATTCTCCTCAGGCATTTACAATTATGTGAAAACTTGGTACAACACGATAAGCTATTTAAAGCTGCAGTATTGAGTGGTTAGGTCACAGTGCAACTGAAGGTCAACAAGCCAATCGATAGATCAGTCAATGCAATCAGGTGGTAAACATCACGCGCTTTCATACCACACACACTGAAAGGCAAACATAACAAGAAAGAAGTGGTTGGTTTGGCGTCAAAGCTCACAGTTAGTCCTGGGCATGGGTAGATACGGACGGCGTCAATCGTTCCGGTCAAGGCAGCATGAGCGCCTGTACAAGCGTCCTCTGCTTGCATAACTCCGGTTGCAGCAACGTGATAGCCATTGCTTCCGAAGTAGTCAACAGGCGCTTCTTGAGTCCCTTTGGGTTGCGTTTAGGTACGGCATAAAGAACTTTGAAAGCATCATCTGTCCGAACATGATGCTCCGTACTAATGAGGTGTTCAAGGATGGAGCTATGTTCATTCTTATCTGTACTGTGCCGTACAGAGGCGGAACAGTGTTCCGCTGTCCTCTCAGACAGACGCCTGGTCGTGTGTCCGAGGTACTTGGCACCACAAGCGCAGGTGAACTGATATGCAACAAAAGATTCGGAACGAGCCGAGAGTCTGACTTTGAGACTTTTATTGACAAACGGAACAGTCTCAGTAAGAAGGTGGACTCTTGCAACCGGATATGTCTGGTTCGCAGCGACGGACAATCCTTTGTTCAGTAACTGATAGGCGATATTTCCTTTAAGGGGAACCGAAATGAAGGCGTCCTTTTACTTTAGGTTGATCAGAAACAGCACAATGTTTGTGGATAAATGTCGTGGGATGACCGTTGTTTTGTAGCGTTACGAGAAAGAAAATCTCGGCAACCAATGTATATGGGCTGCAGATTTTTTGCGGCGCGATAGTAAAGACACCGCACAAGATTTCTATGGTATTTCATGGACACAAAACTAAGGAAATGCGTGTACTGGCCCACCAACGTAGACTTGCGGAATACTCTCCTCTCAAGCAATCCGTCAGTTCGTTGCCGCAGTAACACATCAAAAAATGAAAATTCACCGTCCTTCTCTATTTCACAAGTGAATTTTAACGAAGGATGCACACGGTTGAACTGGTCAGATAGGTGGAGGTGATCAATCTATCAGTCGCATACGATGAACGTGTCGTCCAGGTATCGTCGATAGAAATCAAGAGACGCGATAAACATTCGAATAGGACTGCCCTAAATTTTGCGATGAAAACTTGGCAAGAAGTGGCCCTGAAGGGAACCCCATTGTAAGGCCGTCTATTTGTCGGTAGTATTTTCCATCAAACAAGAGTTGTTTGTTAAAGACGCAACGCAGAAATAGTTCCTTTACTCGTTGGACAGGAATACCGATGTCTGTTGTTTTCGGTTAGATGTTCGCAAATGAAGTTAAGAGTTCTTATTAAGGGAACATTCGAAAACAGTGTTTCTAAGTCGATAGAGAGCCTCAATTTGTCCCCGACATTCAGGTCTTCTACTTGTTTAACAAAATCAAAGGTATCACACAGTGTGGGCCGATAGTTCTCTACGT